AATATTTGCTTTGTAGGCATGATATGGCAGATTCTTTTTTTTAAAAAAGAATAAATAAATTTATTTATTAAAACATTTAATAAAATAGAATAAATAGTTACATTAAAAAGAAAATAGATACATAGTGGATAAAGCATAAAATATCAGTAACTAAGTAGTTTGTAATGATACACTTTGATATTAATTAAATACATAGCACAAAGTTCATTGTGTCATCAAGAAATAACTAGATATAAAGCACAATTTTAATACTGATCTTGCCATTGTATTTAGGTAATCAAAGGAAGACTGAAAAAAAAAAGGGAACAGAAGAAGAAAAATCAGTAAAAACACATTGGGAAACTACATAATTTTAAATTCCCTCACATTGTATGCAGCTGATGATTGCCTCAATATAATTATAAACATTGAAATTGTTTCTAATTACTATCTTTACGTCAATAATTTTTCCTTGAAAAGCATATGGTAAGTGTCGGGATTTTCCTTGTTGTGTGACACTTGACTACATAAAGGATCCTTTCTTGCTCATGTTTAGTCAAGTTTCTGTTGGCAAAGTGTCTGTTTTCTAATGTTGAGCCAAATACGTACTCATGGCCATCCGCATATAGCCTAATAATTGCGATATATTTTATTTGTTTGTTCTGGAACAATTCTTAGTAGAAAAGGAGATGCTGATTTATAATCCTACCATCCTCAGTTCCAAAGAAGAGAAGGTCCCTATCGAGGCTAGATTAAAACCAACTACAGCTACTCCTTGACTTTCAAAAGTTCATTTAATGACCGTTTGAAGTTACAATGGCCCTGAAAAAATGGATTTGTGATCAGTGCTTTTTTTTTAAAAAAAAAAAAGGTGCCGGAACTCACACACCTCATACAACCTGCCTTGCCTATCGTACAAGGTTCCATCCATAAAAGGTGCCGGAACTCCGTTTTGGGTGTTCTATGACAAAAAAAAAGCCCTGCTTGTGATCATTTTTCATACTTAGGACCATTGCAGCCTCCTCATGGTCATGTGATCAGAATTCAGACGCTTGGCAACCAACTCGTATTTATGACGGTCGCAGTATCCCAGTGTCATGGGATCCCCTTTTGTGACCTTCTGACAAGTCAAGTCAATGGGGAATCTGGATTCACTTAACAACCGTGTGACTCAGTGCTGAAAAGTAAAATTGAGTGTGGAAAAGTGTGATACTTAAGGGAAAAACTCTTTTGGGGTGCCCCCTCACCTTCTTCATTGATCCTGATTAATGCAAACAATTAATGCAAACAAATTCCTGGGTGTGCAGCTAATGAGTAGGCTGGCGTGGTTGCTCAACTGTGAGACACTGGTGAAGCGGGCACAGCAGCACCTGTATTTTCCGCATCGCATGAGAAAAGCACATCTTCCTTCCTGTCCTCACCACTTTCTACAAGGGGACGATCGAGAGCATCCTGTCATACAGCATCACAGTCTGGTTGGGAAGCATCACTGCTTCAGACAGGAAGGCGGTGTAGAGAGTGGTGAGGATGGCTGAAAGGATCATTGGCAGTTCCCTCCCTCCCATCCAGGACATAGCACAGAAGTGCTGCTTGAGTAGGGTCCGTAAGATTATCTGGGACACTACACATCATCTTCACGACCTGTTTTCCTTGTTCCCTTCTGGGAGGAGGGGGCTTTGTGGTATCCGAAGCAGAACATCCAGATTCAGCCATAGTTTCATTCCCTACAGCATTAACCTTGTGAACTCTCAAGCTTCTTCCTTCCGTTATATATTCAGGATGGACAGTATTTAATATTTATTTGTTACGTATATGTAGGGGTGTGGGTCTTTACATATGTTGTATATGGTATGCTTAGGTGTGTGTCATGTATGTGTTTCACTTTAAGAGTGGGCAACTAAATTTCATTTTTTGATGTGTGCCACGGTGGCCACAGTAAAAAAAATGACAGTAAAGGTTATCTCTCTATATATAACATAAACAAATATAAGGGCAACTGCTCTTATCTGGATTTCTAGGTTAAGCACTTTCAGCTCTTCATGGAATTTGCAAAATTCACCAACCCGATGGTTTCAACATGGAGTCGATATAGACCAGGCATTTTATTCTGTGTGTATCTCTTTGAATCACATGCTGGGACCCTTTTTGGGATATAGATCTTTTTTGTAATTTAATAATTGCCCGCATAGTCAGCGGCAGCAAACAGGACTGTGCAAAACAAGATGATAATAATTATGCAATTACAATTCACAATTAAAGTGAAAGGGGGTTGATTTGTTCATTTGCAAAGTCATTATTTAGTGTGGTTGATAAGGTTAGGCTAATTGGGGTATTTTTTTTAATAACCTTTTGATACCGTGGTAGTTTATTAATTGCTTAGTAAGGGGTGCGATGGCTCATTGATTAAAGACGCTGAGTTTGTCAGCTGAAAGCTGGCAGCCTGGTTTTGAGGCCCGAGAACTGTGCAATGGTTCTGCTCCTGCCTACCAAGCAGTTCAAAAGCATGCAAATGTGAGTAGATTAATAGGTAGCACTTCGGTGGGAAAGTAACAATATTCCGTGCTTCTTTCAGGTATAGTCATGCCAGCCACATAACTGTGGAGGTGTCTTCAGACATTACTGGCTCCCTCGACCAAGAGGGTTGGAGACAATTGGATAGGGAAAAACCTTTACCTTTTACCTTTTAGTAAAGATCACTGCTATCCTTGCTTTCATATGAATAAGCATGCAAACTGCAGTCTGTTTACCTCTACTGTTTTACAATGATAGCAGTTAAATACTTAGTAGAAGCGATGTAAAAAGGTGACTGCTTTTTTTTTAAAAAAAGAGTCTTTTTCTTTGTTCTTAAAAAAATTCCATGTTAAAAATTCATCACTTACCTACTAATGGGAGAATGTTAAAATGGATTGGATTAATACTGATCTACACTGATTAATAGAAATTAAAAATTATTTTTTCATGTCCCTCCATTGGCTCTATTCATCACAGATGAGTGACAGAGAGGTTGAAATTGCAATCAACCTGTACTGAGATGCAGTAGCTTTCTCTGTAGAGATCAACTTTAAAAGGATTTCAAACAAAATTAATCTCAAAAAAAAAAGATCAGTGGGGCTACATTAAATGAACTTTGACCCTATTAAACTGGACAACAAGCTAAAAGCTAAAACATATGAAGAACAGTTGCAGGAATTGAATATGTCTAGTCTTATGAAAAGAAGGATCATGATAGCAGTGTTCCAATATCTCAGGGGCTGCCACAAAGAAGACGGGGGTCAACCTAATCTCCAAAGCACACAAAGGCAGGATAAGAAGCAATGGATGGAAACTAATCAAGGAGAGAACCAACCTAGAACTAAGGAGAAATTTCCTGAAATTTAGAAAAATTAATTGGTGGAACAGCTAGCCTTCAGAAGTTGTGGTGGGTGTTCTATCACTGGAGATTTTCAAGAAGAGATTGGACAGCCATTTGTGCAGAATGGTATAATATCTCATCCCTGAGCAGGGGGTTGGACTAGAAGACCTCCAAGGTCCCATCCAACTCTGTTATTCTGTTAAGCAGGCAGAGACAGAGTGCCTTCCTTTTTCCATCTTGGTATATGAAGATTTCATTGGAAACTCCATGGTGATTTTCCACACTACAAGATGATAGAGATAGAGATAGATAGAGATAGAGATAGAGCTATCTCTCACAGTTTAGGAGGAAGGTGATACACATACCCACACATTCCCACAAATACATCTGCTCTTTCCTTTAGAAAAGCTATGCTTGAATCCATTTCTCTGCTTGTTTACTGATAGCCCGGATACCTTCTGTAAGAAAGCAAAAGATCAAAGGCAAGGACTTCACCAGGCCTTGACGTTCAGCCACTTTACGGGCCAGCTATTTTGCTTTGAAAATGCAGAGAGCCTGGAGACAGATTTATATTTCCACGCAGGTTCCCTGTTCCATTTTATCACACAGTCTGCTAAGTGAAAGGGATTATAAAGCTCTCATTACTTGTATGAGTTGAAGGGCAGACATTTACCGAGCATCCCTTTGATGTAAACATGGCGTCCAGAGTAAAACCTTTGGAGCAGGGAAAGGATTTTCTGCTGGGGAATGTGAGTTGGAGAGCCACTGATAAAACCTAGACTTTTTTTTTAGAGTAATCCATACCCATTTCAGATAGAAGAGGTGGAAGAATTCATGCTTGAAATAATATATCCACACATTTCCAGCTACCCCCTTAAAGAGATTCGGCAGCATGATAGGCTTAGCAAAATAATACAAAAACTGAAATCAGCCCTGATCTTCAGTAATTACCCCTCTCAAAATTAAAAATAATAATAATGATGACAAGGCTCTTTAAAAAGAAAAAAAAAACAAGTTTATAATACTGACATGAATTTCCCCAGTTTTCAAAAGCTAACTCAGTCATTCACATTTTGAGTCACGGTCCCCAATTCATAAGTATTTCTAGCTCAAGAGGTGGTGACAGCTAACCACTGCTCAAATTGATGATATAAATTAATTTCCACTTTAGATATCACATTCAATATTTAAAAACCGGAGATACCACTGGGATTGTCCACACCCTCTGGTAAACCAAATAAATGAATCATTTTGAAGTCAGAATAACAAGACACAGTCATTGACTGCCTGGGGACAGAGATGTATTACGGTGATAGGCTGCATCCCAAACACAAATGAGTTTGTTTTGATATGTGAAATAACTCTGCATACATGCAGAGGGTCTTTGGAAATTGAATATGTGTAGAATTTGAGCAGTGCCTATTATTCTGTATTTGTCCTCCTAATTGGTTCATCTACTAGGGAAAATAGTTGTACATATCTCCCCCAAAATAAACTCATGCCTTTGGAAATCTGATTTTTACATTTTATTTTTTATATATATTCTGAAAACCAAGGACATTGTGATCTGGTTGCTTATATGGAATAATATCACTATATATTTAAAGCAGACACGGTTTGTAATTAACCATTTTGCCAATTGATCTATACTTTGCTTTGACTCTTGTAGAACTTGGTCTCCCAAGAAGAGGATGTTATTTGGTCTTTGGATTTATGTACAAAGAGAAATATCGGCGAATGACTGAAGGTTAGTGTAACATCTTCCTTTCCATGTATTTTCTACCTTTCTGTATTAACGTGGTTTTTACTTTTATTCCCAAATTTTTACCAAGAAAGAAGAAGACAGGATTGTCTTCCTTTCCGAGCATCTGGGAGATTATTTTTATGTGGGGCAGATCCCGACCTCTTGTTAAATTGCTTACAAAGAAGTCTTCCATGTTAATAGGAAAGCTTCCCCTCTAAAGGCAGCTTCCCTATTAAACATGGAATTTAATATGAATTTAAAAGTAGAAGAATTTTTTTTAAAAAAAATCCTGTAAATGATTAATCATATTAATCAACTAAGATGATTAAAGGCTTGGAAATTAAAACATATGAAGAATAGTTTAAGGATTTGGGTATGGCTAGTCTTGAGAAAAGAAGGACTAAGAGTGACATGATAATAGTATTCCAGTATTTGAGGGGCTGCCACAAAGAAGAGGGGGGTCAAGCTATTCTCCAAAGCACCAGAGGGCAGGACAAGAAGCAATGGATGGAAACTGACCAAAGAGAGAAGCAACCTGGAATTAAGGAGAAACTTCCTAACTGTGAGGACAATTAAGCAGTGGAACAGCTTGCCTTCAGAAGCTGTGGGGGAAGCCACTTGTCTGAAATGGTATAGGGTCTCCTGCTTGAGCAAGGGGTTGGACTAGAAGACCTTCAAGGTCCCTTCCAGCTCTATTCTGAATAAATAAAGGTCTTCCTTTCACCTCCTACTTTTATAAGCTGGTACCAGATATCTTCATGACTTGGTATCTTGCCAGCTACATATCCAAAGACAAATCAATGACGGAATCTAATGATCTGGTACTGCTTGCTTGCTTGCTCACCAGAGGCAGCGAATGTGCAAATAGCAATCGTGGTAAGAGAAGTAGCTTTCTTAGTCTACTTATTCATTGTCTGAAGAGAAGTCACTGGTTCCCATGAAACCAAACCATAGTGATAAAATGAAGATACACTTACTGACGGAGAGGAGACTACTGAAGACAACCTGAAATTAGTGTTATATATGTTCCTATTACATATATTTTAAGTAATATATGGCTGATCATTTCCTTAACTTATTGAGCTCTCACTACCTTTGATTACTCTTGCAATAGATAGGTGGAACTGAGAACAGAAATAATTAAACTATCAAAAACATTTGCAATGCAAAACATCATTGAAGCAGCTTCCAGTTAAAGAATGAAATTGCATAGATAGAGTTTCTCATGCTACCAATATTTAATGTGCTTGCTATTAAAATAAGAAATTGGCAGAAGCTGGTCTCTTAATTGCTTTTCTTTGTCCATAGAAGTTAATATTCTGTCTTTTCCTCATTTCCTTATTTCCACTGGAATGCGAAGAGAGACAAATTATACGTAAAATTCAAAAACAACCCAGCAATAACTGGTTGCTTCAAAATTGTTTTTAAAGCTTCTTCCTTACTTGGGTTTAGAAATTCACAGCATGCTAAAAGTAGCTCTTCTTTTTGATATCAGCATTGCTTTTGATCTATCAGTACTTCATCCAGCTGTAAAGTTGCTAAGGTATAAAAAATGTTGCTGACAAAGGTGCTAGCAGTTTCAAGGCTAGAGAGAAACATTATAGAACTAGAAACAGGGCATCCTAATGCCATTAAGGGAACATCCAAGTACCTATTGACTAACAGGTGGAGCAAAACAGCCTAGAATTTAAGCCACAGAGTATAATTCTAAAGTCTTTGATTTCTGCGTATTGCACTGGGCAAGTCTTTGTGAATATAGTTTCATTCTTGGTCGGCAAGAATATAGCTAAGTCATGTCTGAGAAGTTTTGGCCAAGTAAATCAATCCCTGAATAAAGGGCTAAGTATACAGAAAACAAGGAGTGACAGCTAAGACTGATGTGAACCCTGACAGTTAGGGGGCTATACATAATGATGTAACACCCCCGGCATTATGAATCAATTCAAACATTTGGGGAAATTATATATATGTATATTCTTTGCAACTTCCTCCAGAGATGTTTGCAATAGGATACCCAATATTTAACAAACAGGTTACCCATCACTTATAGAAATCTTTACATTAATCGATTTAAGGTTTTTGTTTTATTTTTTAACCGCAGTATGATGTGCTCAAATAAAAAACAATGCTCTTCTCATATATGAATGAGAAAATGTGTAAAGCAAACTGGACAAATTTGCCTTTGCCCACACATCATGTAATTATTGCTGGTTTTGTTGTCCATGCATGCACATGGATACTGTGAGACACTTTTTATATAGAATTGCAGTTATGAAACTTAGTCCACAGCCTGAAAGTTTGATAGAACATGGCTTCAGGTTCTAAGAAAGTTTCCCCATGGGAATTGAAATGTTCATATAAATGCCTAAATGTTGGGAATGGTCCAGAAGGAGCCATATCTCATTGGCCTTCCAAGATGTTTTGCCTTTTAAGATGAACAATTAAAGGGGTCCAGATCTTCACAACAGAATTTCAAACTTGGGATAGAAGACTACTTGTACAATCAAGACAAGCGAGTAATGATGTATGTACTGTATAAAAATGCACAGAAAATGTTGTTTTGATTAGTTGCATAAAACATGTCAGAGCTATCTGAAAAAGCAAAATAAAAACAAAACTAAATAGAAGCAGGCTGTTGGAACAGACAGTATGTTAATTGGAATACAGAGAGCTTCAGCTAAGCTACGGGAATCTTTAGAGATAAAGCAATTGTATGCCTATTTGTGTCTGCATATCACCTTTGGAAATAGAACCGAAAAATCAAAAGTTCACACGTTCAACAAAAGCAACCATATATGGAAAAAGGGGAATCAAATGATTGCTTCATTTGCTCTGCTCCAAATGATCAAAAGGTCTTTTAATCCACAATCTGTGTGAAATTATGGACAGTTGCCTAAGAGAAGGAAAAGTTTGAAGTAGGCTTACTCAAACAAATGTTATTATCTTCTTCGACTCTCCAAAGTATGGACAGAATCGCAGATAGAACATTTGAAACCACAAAGAATATTGTGTTGATGTTAAGGCCAACTTAATAGAATATTTCCAGACCAGATCATCAAAATAAAGCTTTAATTGAGGTCACTGGGTGGAATTAGTAATGAATAGATCAGTCTATAACCTATCCCAGTGATGGCAAACCTTTTAGAGACTGAGTGCCCAAAAACTGGCCCCACCCCTCCACTCCCTGCCCTGCCCCTGCTCTGCCCCCACCCCGTCCCCCACCCCACCTGCCCGCAGGGCCACTCACTGCCTCTAAGCCCCAATGCAGATGGCCCAGGCAGCCCAGCAGTGCCATGGTGGCCATGACCTCTGCCTGCGTCCCACAGCATCAACTGTGCGTGATGGGGTGTGAGGGCAGAGTCTTGTCTACGCTGCCTGGCTACCATGTCTTTGGCTGCACTGCTCCATGTGGGCCACACTCAGGGGCAACTCTGCTCCAGGGAGGCTGCTGGTGAGGAGGGAGTCACGGGGGAAGGCGAGGCTGGGGCAACAGCACATGTACCCACAGAGAGGGCTCCGAGTGCCGCCTCTGGCACCCGTGCCATAGGTTCGCCACCACTGACCCATTCTCATGATTTTTACATTCATACATTAGTCCGTTCTATCCAAATTTCAGCTCCTTCTGCAGATTTGAAAACAAGATGCAATACATCTTCATTTGTTTTTTATACCAAAATTTCCCAAACATGCATATTTGCTTTATATCCACCGTTAGCTAAATATAAACTTTTGTACATATTGGAGGAATTCTGCACCTTTTTCCATGTTGTTGTTCCTCCAAACAATATTTTGAAGTGTAGCATAGCTAATTATGTGAAGGTTGTGTGCCCTGTTGATATGAGACTTAGATTTCAGTTAGTAAAATTAAAAACCCACTCAAATTCATGTTTGACTTTTCAGTTTTGCTTTTCTTGTCAACAGTGATTTTTCTCTCCCCTTATTCTACCATTTTTTAAAAAAAATTCTTAAAACTAGCCTAAAACCATCAGGTTGCCTGGTAATTTCACATCTTAAAAATAAATATTTAAGATGTGTCTCCAACTTCCTCATTTTGAAATACAGAATTCCCAGTGGGAAATAATACGGCACTTCTTCATTTATTCTTTCCTTATTTTACTGTTCTTTATCTTAGATCTCATCTTTATACAGTAAAGGTAATTTTTTAGGCACCTGGCAGCCATTTTGTTTACGCAGCTGTTATATGGCCTGCCAAGTGAATTCTCCCAGAGCGGGGATTTCCATTAGCATCACTTATTTTTCCCATATCTTATTCAGATTTTGCATAAGGCTTCTGTCAGTATTCAAAGTACTTTCATGAAACAGAACAGCAGACCATGATCTCAGTAATTTTCAAAATCCTGTGCCAACTGTAAGAAAGAATTTACCTTTTTTCCAGTCTTTTGAAAAGGCCTTCATGATATGATATTAACTTTAAAAACCAACATAGCCATGCATTAACTTTTCTTCCAGTCGGTCTCCAGTTGTTGTTTGCTCTGGAAATTGAGAAGATTCTAAAGATGTAGTTTGCTTTATGGATGATTTAATGCAATCATCATTAGTGGTGCATGAAAAAGCATCTGCAGCTGCTGATCAGAAGCTGCAGTTCCTTAAAAAGTAGGAGGCAGAACCTCTATTTTGTTCTGCTGAATTAACCTGGCAAAATATTTTATATAAGCTTTTGTGAAGGCAAGTAATAAAATTTTGGCCCATGTTATAACTTTTCTCTTATTGCTTGCATTTTTCTCGTATGCCTAATTATGAAGGAGTCACATTCAAGAATGAATAAAACATAGATGCCATTGTTGGTGGGCTCAAAAAATTAGATGGAAAGCTATTGACTTTGATGGCAGTAAGACTGTGTATGAAGGCCATTTGAATGGAATTTCTTGTGCACCATGAGCCATTTGGAGGGCACTGCTTATTTTCATAGATAGATAGATAGATAGATAGATAGATAGATAGATAGATAGATAGATAGATAGATAGATAGATAGATAGATAGG